ACAGCTATCTGGCCAACTGACTGGAAGAAATCCATATTTGTACTCATTCCAAAGAAAGGTGATCCTACAGAATGTGGAAATTATAGAACAATATCATTAACATCACATAGGTGTAAAATCTTACTGAAGATAATTCAAAAACAGCAATTGCAGTTTTTGAATTAAACATTCAGTTGCCTCAATATATTGACAGAAATGTAAGCTGGTTTCAGAAGAGGATGTGGAAGGGGATATTATTGCTGATGTCAGATGGATCTTGGCTGAAAGCAAAGAATATCAGGAAGATATTTACTTGTGTTTTGTTGACCATGCAAATGCATTTGTCTCTGTGGATCATAAAAAATTATGGGTAACATTGAGAAGAATGGGAATTCCAGAACACTTAATTGTGCTAAGAATTTTATATGAATAGATGATGGTGAAATACCCAATGGTTGCTGCCTTGAGGAAGCTAGGAGTGATTGCACAAGCCTGGAAATTAAGGAAAGGGGTGTCAAGAAAGAAAGCAACATAATCGAGTACTACTATCTGCAAAGCAGAAAGAAATATTCAGTAGCTTGTTCAAGGCAAACTATTAGGAGGGAGAACAACTGTTCAGGAATTCATCCATATTCTTTCTGGCTCCCATAGTATAACCCCCACTTTTATTAGACTCTATAAATTGGATACCATAAAGTCAATTTCCATGTGACAGAGTAGAACTGCCCCACAGTTCTCTGTTATGATCTTTATGGGAGCAGATCTCCAGATCTTTCTATCATGGAGCTACTGGATAGTTTAAACTCCCAACCTTTCAGTTAATGGCTGAGCACTTCCCCACTGCACTACTGGGGCTCCTATAGGGCCCACTATACTCTGCTAAAAGTATTAGCGTAAGTCTACGCAAAGTATTATGAGGATAGGCATAGACTTTGCATTGAAGAAGGAAGTTCTTCAGTCTGAGATCCTCCTGATAATGCTGTTCTCAGTCTGCATTTCCATTCTCAACTGATTTCTACTGCTGTGGCTATTCTGCAGTTGCACAGATTGGCTGGGAGCTTATGAAGTCAGGTGGAACTGGATTAAAAGCCTGGAAGTTGTGTGACTTTGGATAAGTTCCTTGATCTATCTGAACCTCTATTTTCCTATCTATAAAACAGGATTAATAACATGTACCCTCATAGAGCTCTTATAAGGATCATACAATAAGATATTGTGTATTAAGTATTTAGACAATGTCCATGTGGTGGTTATATTTGTGTGTCAACTTGGCTGGACTGGGTTGAGTGGCTGGGTAGCTGGTGGTAGTTATTCCCCATAATGAGACTGACAATCAACTCTATGGTGGGATCTACCACAAGCAGCTAAGTAGCTGCTTTGGGTATGTGGTCTGTTTCTCATATATAAGAATCCACTTTGGGAATGGTCGCTAGCCTATGGCACTCTTGGACCCTGCATGTAGCCGTGTCATTGTTCAGCAGCTTGCCATGCTCTGCTGATCCTGGGACTTACAATGGACTTGAATTAATGGCCTGCCATGTGGTTTGGTAACAACTGGACTGCGCCGTTTTGTTTGTCAACCTTGGGTTTGGCAGCCTCAGCATCCAGCAGCTTTCTGAGTGAAGAAAAGCCTCTAGCTTCAGTGGGCCGGGAGCTGGAGGCAGAGCTGAAGCCTAAGGCTGAGGGGCCTGGCACTTTGAACTCAGACTCAAAGCCTCCAAACTGTAAGAATAAACTCCTGTTTGTTAAGGCCATCCCATTTGTGGTATATTCTTGTCAGAACGGCACTAGGTAAACAGAACAGTCAGGTACATATACTGTGTTATAAATGGTGGAAATTTATTGTGAATCTTTCATTATTGCTACTCTGATTTGTGATTGATTGATCTAGTTCAGTGGATCTGGCTGGGATGTTTTCCTTGATGTTGAAAATTAGTGCAGATCTTTAGATATCTTTGCTATAATAAGGAAAATTGTGCAGTATCTTTTCTGACCTGATTATTGATTACAGCCTTTTTCACTTTAGATCATATCTAATGGTCTAATGAAAATGTAAATTCCATTTAAGACCCAGGTGCATGCATTATGTTGTATATCTTCAGCACTTATTGAAAGAGACTCATTTAGGAGTGAAGTCACATGGAACAATTTCTCCCAACTTTGTTTTGGATAGTCATATTCTCCTTGTGACCACAACAAAACAAACAACACTTATTCTATTTGCAAATATAAAAATAATTCCCAAATATGTATTCATTATATTATTAAAAAATAGTAATTTTTCAGGGATTTGTGGGCATACTTATTGGCTCAGAATTTCACTCTTAGTCTCAGAACTTAAATAGAAATAGCTCTTTTTTTTTTTTTTTTTTTTTTTCCAAAAATTGTTTATAATCCATGGGAAAATGG